GATAAGGGTTTTGATCCCCGCTCAATTGGTTTCGATTATCCTATATATTTGGAGTTTATGGGGTTTTTATTGGGCTTCTCTAATTCTGGGAAGCGACCATTTCCTAGCTTTCGCGGCCCAGGCGCTTTGATTTAGGCCGTGATGAAGGGCAGGGAAGGAGAACTCAGCTGTACTGATGCCGCAAAACCTGCAAGGCTTCGGGTTTAGGGTTTAGGGCACTACAAAGCCCGAACGATCCTACGTATCCATATGGTATAAGGTAGGGCCTCTACATTTTGAATTAGTAACAGGGTCTGGGTTAGTATGCCCATAAATAGGTACTTAAGTAGGATCCTTTGGGCTCCAAAAGACACCGGAAACCTCGATCGCTAAAACTTCACAAATCCCTGAATAGTTCCTTTAGGGATCCAAATAGCCCAATGTAGGCATTATTTATAGACTTTGGGGCCCAAGGTAAATGTAGGTACTATTTGTAAGGGTTCTTCTTAAAGGCTGAACACAAGTAGTGCGAGTTACATGAGTGTTGTGCGATCTTGGGGGAGCCCTTCAAAACCCTGAACCCAAAACAGTCTGAACCCTCAAATGCGGGGAGGGGGTAGACTTCTCAGAGTCCTCTTCATCAGGATACAGATGGGGAGCCTGAAAATGAAATCCGGAATAGCCTCTGTGTCCTGCGGAATACAACTTTCAGATTCGAATGGCGAGTTGGGGCTCTGACAACCCTGAACCCTAAGCCCTAAACCCTAATGAACCAGCATGGTTTTCCAGGAGGAGAAAGGTCCTACGAAACCAAAATCCTGACCTCCTAAGTACTTACTTAGGGTTTAGGGTTTAGGGTTCTAGGGCTGAGGAATTCGAATTAGGTTTCCATAGTTGCGATAGACATCTCATACTATGGTTCCGCATAACGGCAGCTGGAGTTCCTTCACCGCAAGCCAACACATCCATACCAAGTGCCTATTGTGGTAATACTTGGGTTACATACTGGGATAATGGAAAAGGAAATGGAAACTACTATAATGGGTTATACAGGGTTTAGGGGTTTAGGTTTCGGGGTTTAGGGTTAAGGGTATATAGTTATATAGTATATACCCATGATTTCGGGGGTTTAAGGCTTACTTACATGATTCATATTCGGGAGGTCCAGGATCTGAGGACAAATATGACAAGCTCAGACAAGCTCACTCCCGGTTGGATATACGGATAGTTTAATAGGGTTTAGGGTTTAAGGTTTAGGGTTTAGGGTTGAGCTAATTCAGGAGTATGAGGCCCTAAACTAAAACCCTGAACCCCAAACCCTCAACCCTATGGCCCTAAGCTCAAGCCCTAAACCCTCATCCCTATAAACCCTAAACCCTAAACCCCTAAACCCTAAACCGCGTTGATGCGCCCATTCAGGTGGCCACGGGCTCTAAGCCGAAGCTGATGTCTGCAGCCCTTACAGGGGGTGGAGAGCTGGAGTATGAGGCCAAAGTTGGAGGAAGGAGGTAGAGTTCAGGGTTTAGGGTTGAGGGTTTAGAGGTTCAGGTTTAGGGTTGAGGGTTTAGGGTTTAGGGGTTCAGGGTTTAGGGTTTAGGGTGTAGTGGTTCAGGGTATAGGGTTGAGGAGTCTAGGGTTTGGGATTTCCGGGGGCTTTGGAGCCTGCGTGTGATGATAGGTTTCATTTTTAAGGTTTGTTTTTAGGCCTTAGGGCTGGGGTGGGATCAACAACAATAGTACCCTTCGAGATTCCGGGGGTACATACAGGCTATATGACAGGATTTCCCGGACCCCCAAAAAATGTACACTCCTAAACCCTAAACCCAATGTACATCCAGCATGACTCGAACCATGGTTCCAAAGGTTTGACTTCTACATAAAACAACCCATGGACCTCCAGGTCAGCTTGCGATAATTGGAGGTTTCCCAACATTAAGGGTATTTTGGGGTCCCCATAATAAGGATTATAGTATTTTGGGGTCTATACTGGGGTCCCCTTATTTTGGTAAACTACCAGGTATAGGTGTGAACAACATTGGTATGCCCTCGCTGCTGCAGTAGGGTAGGTCTCATCAGAGCATGCCCCAGCACTTCGCAAACCACCCCAAGCCCAGGCCCTTAAACCAAGACCCGCGCAGTCGTAAATTGAAGCCCTATTTAGGTGTGAGCCCCAACCTTAATCCCTGAACCCTTACCCGGCTATTCTGTGACTATACCGCCCTACCAAAGCCACAAAAATGCGGGTCTACCTTTGATCGTCACTCCTTCTCCTCGACCGTTCTTCTGGGTTGCTGTTCGGTACCTTTTTGCAACTTACGACCATAGAGAAACCCTAGGTATTTATATACTAGATACCAATCTTATGGTAATTTGACTTAAGTTCCTGAACAGCAACCCAGTCTTTGGTAGGCGCTTTTCCAGCCCGTCATAGACGGGCCTTCTGCCTCACCAGTGGAGAAGGGCGATGCTGGGAAGTTCTTAGCAAGTCTTTAATTAGGGTAAAGGATGCGCCAAGTAGGGTCTATGTGAGCCATAATCTAAACTCCTTAAAGGGGGATATATAGGGGATTATATATGGGACTACTATAGGGGTTATTAAGGGGGATACTAGGAGTTTAGACTATAGCTCATGTAGGGTTCAAGGGCAGGCTGCAGGGTTTCGGGTTTAGGGTGAAAGTGCTGCTCCGGCACTCCATTCATAGCCAGGATCATGGGGCGGAGTACACCATGGAGTCATGACAAAGCCTCCTCAAATCATGTCCTAGACTGCTGCATGTGGGGATTTCCCGAAATTCATTAGAATGCAGGCCCCTAGACTGGGAACACGGGGTCCCTGTAATTATAGACTTCTCCAGTTTGAGAACACTCACTCAGGGCAACCCTAGAGGGCCGCTAAAAGAGCATGGAAAGTCTGTCTTCACGTAAGGAAGGAGGCTACAAGCGTGGTACGCAATCCGTTGTTGCGGGCCTGACCGCTGCGATATGGGATATGGATAAGGCGGAAGTGCAGGACGCATCCTTGCGCACTTTTCTTGCTTGTGCTTACAGGGGATTCGTAAATATGGCCAAAAATAGTTCAGGGACTATCATAGCAAAATATGCCCAGGCAGCATCCTATCAAGTATAGTCTAGCATGGTTACTGCGCTAGATAACAGGAATCTGACATTATCCAACTACTCAGCCTAGCTATATTCCTATAAGTACTTTCCCAAGTTTATTCTGCACTATCTTAACTCAGTTCTGACCTGGGCTGTATCACTACCTTTGGCTCAGTTGGGTTTAGGAGTTTAGGGTTGAGGGTGAACTAAAGCCAAAGCAAGCATAGTTTCTTAAGCCCAGATCTTGAAACCTAAGTCCAATCATCGCAACACTTCCTAAGCTCTGTGCATTCACAAACTTTTTTATTGTGGTCTGGGTAGGTAAAGATAAGGTTTGTTGCGAAATTGGTAAGCGTATATGAGGGGCGGCCCTTTTGCAGACCCCTAAACCCTAAACTCTGAACCAGACGTCCTTAAAGCCCTGCGGCTCACACCCTTTAACCGTACAATGACATCTCACACAACCGTGGGCAAATGGATCCTTGAAGTGTTGGAGGAGAGCAGCTGGATCCCTGAACACCCCAAACTCCCTAAACCCAACTCCCTGAACCCGGCTTAAGCCCCCGAACCCTAACCCTAAGGGTCCAAGGACCCAAATAGTAGGGTTTTAGAGCCCAAATACCATTCATATTATAGTATTTGGGCCCTAAAACCCTATTATTTGGGTCCTTGGCCCCTTAGGGTACACCTTT